GAGAGAGAGAGAGAGAGAGAGAGAGAGAGAGAGAGAGAGAGAGAGAGAGAGAGAGAGAGAGTCTCTGAACATGTTGTTCTTGCCTTTGTTCATGTGCAGGAGCTGGTGAGTAATCTAACAGCTGCACAGGCGACTGCAGCATCAATTAATGCTGAGGAGATGTTATTCAGTTTGTCTGTCAGCAAATACCAGCAGCTAGCACAAACAATCAGTGACATCGATCCATTTGTGAAGCTATGGACAACAGCTGCGGGGTTCCGGTCGAAAGAGCAAGAGTGGATGAATGCACCTTTTGCATCGCTTGATCTAGAAATTATTGAAAATGAGGTAGGCGAACTTTTGCTACCTTGTACCTGCTGCTTATCATTGCACAGTACTGAACTTGGGCAGGATAGCGACACACCATCTGTTCTTCCTATTCTACTATGTATCTCGAGTAATGCACTAGAGAATTCAAGCTTCCTGTCATTAAAGCCTCACAGGGGACTGCTGTTATCAGCTCCTACGATACCTTCCGAGGTATTAAACAAAAAAAAAGAGCAGTCTCAAGACTCCCAACGGACCTAATGAACCCTTACCAAGTTCCGAGAAATGCAAGAAAGGGGCTCATCAGCTGTCTGTGCATATACAGCCCAACAGATATGAAGGCCCACTCATAGACCCAAAACTTACCAAAAGATGATTCTTTGCTCATCATCTAGATAGTCGGTGGAGATGATTCATCCATCGACGCCGAATAGCTAATTTATTAATTTTATTTTAGCGATTTGACGTCGATGGTTGAATCATCTCCACCAACTGTCTAGATGATGTGCAAAGAATCATCTTTTGGTAATTTTTGGGTCTGTGAGTGGGCCTCAACGTGATGTTGCAACATGGCGTGACCTGCACCTACCACATGTGAAGACGACCTCAACGTGATGTTGCAACACAACCACCAAAATTGTGACTGCAGCTCTGAGATGCAATTAACAATATGATGATGATGATAACGCAGGAGGAGAGGAAGCAGACATAGTGTTACATCTTCGAGTCACACGGGTCCTACCGGACCTGACTTAGGGCCGGAGGGACACACCAGGGCCTAAAGGCCCGACCTTTGAGGGTCACAGACCCTAAAGGCCTGATTTTGCACTCAGCCCAGCGGGTAGGCCCAAACGACACTTTGTTTGGGCCTGGCGGCGCTCTTGAGGCTGCCACCCGCCGATGGAGGCTGAACCGTCCATCTGGACGGTCCAGGGTCTGGCCTGGCCTCGCAGCATTGAGGCCAGACCATGGCCTACCGGTATAAGTACCGGTACCTGCCTCAGTAGAGGCATCGACCTACCGGCACTATACCGGTACTGTATGGTCAGCGCCAGAGCGCTGTTTTGATGCGCTAAA